ATAAAGTGAATAGAATTATTTTTTTTAATACAATGCTTAAAACCCTGATCTACTATATTCTGTGTTTATTTGGAAATGAATCCCAACAAAATAGTTTTAAACAGAGAGCTGCGATGTAAAGAAAATAAATAATAAAAAATAATGGAAAAAGGTTAAAAAAGTTTAAATTCTTTAATATTTTATACAATAGATTTCTGTGTCCTGCAACCAGTTCCCATCTGATCGTCTGGATGCCAATGACAGGTGGATGAGCGGGAAGACGGGAAAGGCAGAGGATTCTGGGAAATAACCAGAAGCAAAACGTGACATTAAGGGGGGGGGGGGGGGGGGGTATCAGTTAATTACTCTGGTCTTCGTCACTCAGTGAATTAGCCAAGTTTCAGTCTTTAAAAGTCAAAGGTGACGCATCAGAAAGCTCCTCTCTGCTGCTGCAGGTGTGTGATAACATCAAATGGGTCACTGACCTCATTTCATTTCTCTCTGAGTCATTTTCTCTCATTTGACCCACATTGCTCATCCTCTAATGCTGGAAGATCAGAGACAATCTGCTCCCTTATTAAAACAACACACCATGTGTGTGTGCGTGGGGGGGGCAGTTATGGAAAACTTGTCTTTCAGCTAAAACATCTTTACTTTCAGGTTTTTAATGCAACACCAGAGTTCAAACTAATTTGTTTTCATTTAATCGTCTTTCTCTGTAAAATTTTTGCAGTAATTTCCTTTTTTTTATATTGCACTTGGTCACAGCAGAATGTACGGCTACGGTACGGCTAATTTTAAATGTATCATTTTATTGAACATTGGGTCGATAAAAGAGCAAGGAACGGTTTAAACTTTGGCTTCTAGATGTTCGGATTCTCCGAGCATTTTAACTTTTTGTTTTTCAGTCTAACTGGATGCAGTTAGTTGCTGCATTTGTAACCTTGTAGAAACTTCACAGTAGAAACTGTGGAGAGTTTCTAATCCCTGGATGTTCCCCTCAATAATAAGCTGGACTCATAACAGTGACGCCCTGCAGAAGGAGGCCCAGAGCCGCCTCCCTCCACCTCCTGAGGAGGCTGAGGTCCTTTGCAGTGAGCAGCTTCTGCTTCAAACCTTCTCTGACTCTGTGGAGGCCTCAGCCCTCCTCTACGCTGTCGTCTGCTGGGCTCCTGGCAGCGCAGAGCGGGACAGAAAGAGACTGAACAAACTGCTGAGAAAGGCTGTTTCTGTCCTAGGCTGCACTCTGGACTCAGTGGCTGAGAGGAGGGAGCTGTCCACGCTTCCATCCATCATGGACGGACTGGAGAGGAGCTGAGCAGCTCCTTTAGTCCAAGACTTTTACAGCCTGTTTGGAAAAAGCAGCGCTACTGCAGGTCATTCATCCTGCTGCACCCAGACTCTACAATGAGACGCTACAACCACAATAACTGCTGCAATGGAGAATAATTACTATTTGATACCCTGTGAAAAAACTGTATATATAAATATCCATCTATATAAACACCATGTGCAATAACCCTGGATAATACACTGCAAAAAACATCTAGAAATAAGTAAAAAATATGTTAAATTAGGTATGTACTCTTAATTTGAATATGTAAATATGATGATCTGCGAATGGAATGAGTATTTTTACTCTTAAAATAAGAAAATTGGATAATATGCACTTAAAATAAGACAAAGCAATAATCTTTTCTTATTTTAAGTGAAAATTGTCTCAATTATTTGCAAAGTGTCTCACTTTTTTTTAAAAGGAAAAAAAAATACTTATTTAGATTTGCGCTGTATATACTGTATATATATCTGTATATACTGTATATATATCTGTATATATCCCATGCACCTTTTTCTTTGTCACATTCTTCTTGTCTTTGACTATTTGAGCTGAAGAAATGGGTAAATTTCTCCACTGTGAGATTAATAAAGTCAATCAATCAATCATTAAATCAATCTTACTCATAGTTTTCCATCAGGGTTGACATGAATACAATCCCTGGCTAAGTGGCCATTTGGCAACATTTTATTTTATTCTAAAATGTATTTTAATTGAAACATTTATCTTATTCTATTTTTATGTATTTTAGCCTTTAGCTTTTATCTTATGTTCCTTAACTGTGATTCCTGTACAGCTCTTTGGTCAACCCCGGTTGTTTTAAATGTGCTTTATAAATAAAGTTTGAGTTGAGTAAAAACCTTCAATCTCTTAAATTTTCACAGACGACTTTATTCACCTGATAAAACTTGCTTTTAACACAACCCTTTAATTACTTCAAGTATTTATTTTCATAGCAGGAAGACTGATTTCTTTGGCCTTCAACAACAGAAAGTTAAGTTACAGCATCTTTATTAGTACATGTGCAAGCATGCAAAAACAGAAATAGACAAAGAGTGATGCAAACAAACGCATGAATACTGACAGAATCGACGAGGCGCTGCTTTAAAGGAAGAGATAACATTTCTCACTAAAGCACAAGTGCATCGTTTTGGCCTGGATGGAATAAATAAGATTTTAGCTTGAAGAGCTGAGGAGAGTTTAAAAGGTGCTGAGTCAGCGAATGATGCACCAGTCAGCATTCAGGCGTGCTGAGACCAGAGGAACCGATCGCACCGCTCCAGCATGGTCTGAATCATCGCTCTGAAAAACAAAAAGAAGAAAAAACTGATTTTCTTAGAAAAATAAGTTAAATTATACATTTGTTTCAACCCTTTATAGGATCCTCAGTTAAATACTTTGAGAATCAACACTTCCAGCCAATAGTGTTATTGAATCCAGGACCTTATTACCTTTGGAACGTTAA